TAGAACCTAGAAAAAATGAAGACAAATGAGATTTATTTACAAACTCTAGGATGCTACTTATTTTTTATCTAATAATATGCTTGAAATAGTCTTATAAAAAAATGGACACATAAAATTATGTCTTCTTTATTTGAAAATAATTTAGTAATCATGTTGATAAATTGACCAGATTGACTCTATCAAGTTTGATAGCCACTTATGTCTAATAAAAGTGACTAACAACAACCACCTGAATGAAGTATCAAATATATAACATAATATACCATTTTATAACATTTTGTTCAATAAATCTAATAGAGTTGGCGTATTATAATTTCATGGCTGGTTTGACCAAAATAATTTTATCAAAATTTAGGGTTCAACATCATGGTTGTGAAAGAATGGGAATGAAAAACCATTACCTTAATATTAAATGCTCATCTTTATTAGAGTAATTTAGTGCTACAAATGCAATATAACGTAAAATTATTGAAGCCTTGTTAATTTTAATGAAGATAAAATGTCAAAATGGCCCCTAAACCATTTGTAGGAGTCATTTTAGTCATAGTTATCTAAAACATTCAATTTAGTCTAAATAATACAAAATAATTTACTCTATTAAATTATTTTGGATTAGAATTGGAAAGTTAAGGGATAATTTTCTATCTAATTAAAGGAGTGAATGGTTAAAGGGACTAAATTAGACACAACATTTAGTGTGAGGCTAAAATAACACTCTTAAATAATTTAAGGATAGTTTTATTAATTTTCTCTTTTAGTAAAATATATGATTAAATTTAGGAACATCAAAAATTATAAAAAAAAGTTTTTTTTTTTTTTTTTTTTTAGAATATTTGTTTCTGTAAGAGCTATTCAATGCATGGATGCTTCGAATAAGAGGCCCTAAAAATCGTAGAAACTCTAATAAGTTTAAATTAATGTGAGCAAATTGAATAGAAAAATAAAGGGTTTAGGGTTTCACATAGTGTTGATTTACATAGAGAGAAGAGGATGGAGACAAGTCTAGTCATATTTTTTTTTTTGGCTCATTTAGGTTTTTAACTAAGAGATATTAGTATCATTAAATATATCATAGTATGGTAACAATTTTAATTGTATAAATTTTAGATTTTATTTTATTCAAAAAGTAATTTTGAAATGTTAATTTGATTTAATTCAATCTAATAACTAATTTAACATCCAAAATTGTTAGGTTTTTAACTAAGACATATTAGTATCATTAAATATATCATAGTATGATAACAATTTTAATTGTATAAATTTTAGATTTTATTTTATTCAAAAAGTAATTTTGAAATGTTAATTTGATTTAATTCAATCTAATAACTAATTTAACATCCAAAATTGTGAGTTTAGATTTATACTTAATGAGATGAAATTTTTTGTTTCCCCATCAATTGCACCTTAATTTTTAACATGAAAGCCTCTAAACTTTGAAAATATTTTGAATTTTAAAAAGTTTCTGAATTTATTTTTCAGTCTTGATAAATTTAGCCTTTTAGGACCATAAATCAATACATTTTCCCTCAATCATAGCTTCACTTATTTGAAAGCTCTAGTTGTTCTAACAATTATGCTAATGCTACCTCAATTGCTAATGATTTTACTTGAATTGTATGAACTTAAAATAGTTTTCAATTTGGGGCATTTACATACATACTCCCCAATTCTTATGTATTTACATATCCAACACAGAATTTATTTTTTACAATTATACCACAGAAATCTTTTCATGTCACATTAAAAATATTATTATTTTAACTTTTAAAAAGTGAAAGATACATTTTCATTAGTAGATAAGTTGGCACATAAGTAACATGGAAGCTTAGGTGTTAGATATCTAAATACATAAGAATTGAGTGGAATGCATGCAAATCTTCATTTCATTTTTTTTTTTTTTAGCAAAGATTAGTCCCCCACTATTTATTGGAAAAAATTTGCGTACGTAAGAAGTACGCAATGTTGCGTACATCAGGGAGGTTATTCAGAGGGTATTGGGCGGTTATATATGTGTTATACCCCTTGTAACCTACATGTAACCTACAAATATATGAAAATAGAAGCGCAAAACTTACTAGAAGGTACATGTAGGTTACAGAGAGGTTACAGGGGGTATAATGCGGATATAACCCCTCTCAATAACCTCCCTGACATACGCAGCGTTGGGTACGTCTTATGTACGCAAATTTTTCTCCTATTTATTGCATACTAAATTTTAGTCCTTTCAAGATCAGCATGCCTGATCCATCCCTCTCCTATGGTTAAATTTTTTGCCAATTTTCATCAATTCGTTAATCATTTAACCTTCCTGTCTAAAAACTATATCATAAATATCTTCCCTTACTTTACATTGCAGAACAAAATCTTCTTTGCTTGGTTGAAGATTACTGAGCTGAGGAACATTGTAGCTGCTAAAAGGATATTAATTCGAAGGAGAAAGCATAAACTGAAGGTGATTAAGTTACTTAATCCTCAGGTGAATCTTCTCAACAGATGGGAACTACTGGCCAGAAGACATCTTGAGGCTGTGGCTTCTTTGATTAAGGTTTTGGAAGGCACGTGCCTCTACATTCCCTTGGTCGACGGCGCTAAGGTAAATAATTATATTTACATCTGTCATGTATTTATATGTCTGACATCAATTTTTACATATATGTCATCTTATCTATACATGAAAGTCATTTCATTTTTAAAAATTTAAAGTAGTGATATTTTTTATGTGATAGGAAAGATTTCGGTGGTATAAGTGTATAATTAAAGTATGTATAATTAAAGTTTAGGTGTTAAGACATGTAAACACATAGGAATTGAGAGGTATGCATGTAAATGTCCAAAAAAATTGTTGGGTTGTTTTTTACTCTTATGATTTGTCTTATGAAATTTAAAGTTATTTTAATGTAATTTATCCTTGAAATAGAATTTTACTGATTGTGCAGGCTAATCTTGTGATGGTCCATACATCCATTTTTGGCTCATTGGACATGATGCTGGCCATTGAAGCTGCAATTAAGACATTCTATTCTAAGGTTTGCATATTTATTCATTTTTAAGCTATAGTGCTCCTTTTTCTTTTCTAAAGAAGGAATTTATTGCCTATCAATATGTAAGCTTTAGGCACAAGAAGGTATTCTTAAACAATATTTTCGAACACCATTTTTTCAGCTCTTATTATTATTAAACAGCACAAAGAACATTAATAAAAGCTTAGTTATTGTATATTTAATGAGATGCTATGAAATCTTCTCCTTCAACAAAAAAGAGAAGCTTTGAATATGCCAAAAGTTTGGTCACAAGCTTAAGAGTGCAAAACACATCTTTCAATCTCTGCCATTGTTGTTTAAACATGTTCTTTTTATTCCATTTCTCTCCTGTACTTAGGCTGAGCTATTAAAGTCATTGTTGTGCGAGTTGGTGAAAATCATTCAAGAAGAAATAGAAGGTTTGGATGAACTGAGAAACACAAACAACTTAATCTCTTCTCTTGAGGTCAGTTAATATCATGAACAAGAGATCATGATCCCTAATCTCTTTAATTAAGAGAATCCTTCTGATATATATATATATATATATATATATATATATATA